CTTAGAAATTTTGGAAATTTTTCCATGTTAAATTGTTTCCATTGTCGAAAAATAAAATGAGAGACGAATGAAATGAACATATTTTTTTGTGTTTATCTCGTCTTTCTTCTTAGAAATTTTGGAAATTTTTTCACGTTAAATTGTTTCCATTGTCGAAAAATAAAACCTTAAAATTCGATATTTACGCACTTCGCTCTTCTAATATTTTTTCTTTTTTAACGATTCTGATGAGATGAACGAAACGAACATGTTTTTTTTTTTGTGTTTATCTCGTCTTTCTTTCTTCTTAGAAATTTTGGAAATTTTTCCACGTCGAAAAATAAAATCTTAAAATTCGATATTTACGCACTTCGCTTTTCTAATCTTTTTTTCTTTTTTAACGATTCTGAAACGTGGAGGAATGTGTTTTTTTTGTGCTCACCTTGTCTTTCTTTCTTTTTAGAAATTTTAGAAATTTTTCCACATTAAATTGTCGAAAAATAAAACGTTAAAAAAAGAAAACTTTGAAATTAAATTGATTCACCATTTAATAGCGGATCACGACGGGATCATGGAAGGAAAAATTTCGAATTCTCGTTGCAATATCTCGAAACGATTATCCCCTATACGTTATCGAAAGTGTAATACATTTTTGGTGGTTGATTTTGTCGGGCAAGCTGCCGTTCTGTCATATTAAACGCACGGCAAAGGGTTGGAAAGAGGGGTGGGAGAAGGCGCGTTTTGACAAGCTGGATTCACCTTAATTGACATGGAGATTGAGGTATCGATGTTTCCTTCCCTCGTTAATTACCGAAATAATAAATATCGGCAGACGTTGGTCGAGTACAACGCGGGGGTGAAACGAAGGAATGGATAAACGCATCGTTTAAAAAATCAAGATTGATCTCTAAATAGATATCCTATTAATTTGTTATTAACAGAAATTGTAATTAATGTTTTATCAGAATTTGAATTCGTAAATATCCGCGTATAGGATTAGTTCATTAATGGAAAATTCCTCAAGATCGTGTGTATTTTCATAATCTTCGATCTCGTTGCAAATATTTTCCTTTCTTTTCTTTCTTTTTTGACCTCGTACAACGAGTCACGAATAAAATTCAGAAAGTGTTTGAATTACTCAAACAACGAACTATAACACGCGCAATTCCTTAAGATCGTGTGTTTCTACAATCTTCGATCTCGTTGCAAATATTTTTTTTTCTTTTTTCTCTTTGCTATATTTTCTTCCTCCTGCAAATATTTTCCTTTCTTTTTTTTTTTTTTTTGCCCTCGTTCAACGAGTCACGCATAAAATCTAGAAAGTGTTTGAATTACTCAAACAACAAATCGTAACACGCGCAATTCCAAAGATCGATTTCACAATCTTCGATCTCGTTGCAAATATTTTTCCTTCTTTTTCTTTTTTCTCTTTGCTCCTCTCCAACGAATAAAATCTGAAAAAGTGTTTCAATTACTCAAACAACAAACAAACATGCGCAATTCCAAAGATCGTGTATATTTCCACAATCTTCGATTCGTGGATTCGCAAATTATATTTTCCTTTCTTTTTCTTTTTTTTGCTCTCGTTCAACGAGTCACGAAAGTAAAAAGTGTTTCAATTACTCAAATAAGAAATCGTAACACGCGCAATTCCTCAAGATCGTGTGCATTTTTATAATCTTCGATCTCGTTGCAAACATTTATTTTTCTTTCTTTTTCTTTTCTTTTTTTCCTTTGTTTTCCTCCAACGAGTCACGAATAAAATCTAGAAAAAGTGTTTCAATTAAGAACGAATCAAACAACGAATCGTAACACGCGCAATTCCAAAGACCGTGTGTATTTTCACAATCTTCGATCTCGTTGCAAATATTTTCCTTTTTTTTTTCTCTTTGTTCCTCTTTAACGAGTCACGAAAGTAAAAAGTGTTTCAATTACTCAAACAACAAATCGTAACACGCGCAATTCCTCAAGATCGTGTGTATTTCTATAATCTTCGACCTCTTTTTGCAAACATTTATTTTCCTTTCTTTTTCCTTTTTTCTCTCTTACTTCCCTCCAATGGCTCACGAATAATATCTAGAAAGTAAAAAGTGTTTCAATTACTCATTCAATAAACGGTAACACGCGCAATTCCAAAGATCGTGTATATTTCCATAATCTTCGATCTCGTTATAAACATTTATTTTTTATTCTTTTTCTTTTCTTTTTTTCCTTTCCTCCAACGAGTTAAGAATAAAATCTAGAAAGTGTTTCAATTACTCAAACAACAAACTATAACACGTGCAATTCCAAAGATCGTATATATTTCCACAATCTTCGATCTCGTTGCAAACAT